ACCATTAATTCACTCAATGATAAACAGCGCCCTCATGTAGCATCTATCAAACCATTCAATTAACTCAATGATAAACAGCGCCCTCATGTAGCATCTATCAAACCATTTAATTCACTCAATGATAAACAGCGCCCTCATGTAACATTTATCAAACCGTTAATTCACTCAATGATAATTAGCGCCCTCATGTAGCATCTGTCAAACAATTCACTCAATGATAAACAGCGCCCTCATGTAGCATCTATCAAACCATTAATTACCTCAATGATAAATAGCGCCCTCATGTAGCATCTATCAAACCATTAATTCACTCAATGACAAACGGCGCCCTCATGTGGCATCTATCAAACCATTAATTACCTCAATGATAAATAGCGCCCTCATGTAGCATCTATCAAACCATTAATTCACTCAATGACAAACGGCGCCCTCATGTGGCATCTATTAAACCATTAATTCACTCAATTGTAAACAGCGCCTTCATGTGGCATCTATTAAACCATTACTTTGGCTGGTTCCCGACGTCCTTTGCAAATGGCAAGTAGAACGCAGGTAACTAGTAATCGCCATATTGTTCGACTGGCCGGGATTCCGGCCCAAAGTCATGTGACTAAGTGACGTAATTTGAAAACATTCTAATATTCGTTTTCCGTAAACAAGTCCTCATTACGCCATGCCTATACATTCTGCCTGCTTAGACTTCATATTTGAGATGTTTCTGGCATTTCTTGCTGTTTCTGTGTAAATTTATAACAAAAGAAACAGTCCAACTTTCGAAAGAAAAAGGAAACGGCTGTGAGCGTAAGCATTGACGTCAGGTAACAAGGGAAATAGAACAAGCAATGAGAAAGTGATGGACCAATCAGAATGCCGGAACCTTTACCAGTTACCAGCCTCTTCTGGCTTGGTGTGTCATGACACTTGAGGCGGGAACCAGCCAAACCATTAATTCACTCAATTATAAACAGCGCCCTCATGTGGCATCTATCAAGCTATTAATTAAAACAATGCCCTCATGTGGCATTTCTTACAAAATTACAAACTTTAGCCCTTTGAGAACCATAATTTTTTCCAGGAAATTTTCGTGCAACATTTTTTATGTATTTCTCTATATTTTATTTTAATAATTTGGCTTTAAATGAATTTAATAATTTCTTATTGTCTACATGGGTTTAAAATTTGTGAATGATGTCAAAAGTGGATTTCACATTCAAAGCGTTAAAAACTTTATTTAATGTGTTTTTTTGACTAATTCATCACTCAGGTTTAAAAATTCGGTTGATTACTATCTCTTGGATTTGTTGACAAATGAAAACAATATTCCAAAGCATTTCTATTATATTCTCACAATTTTTACCATTTTACATAATTTTCCATTAACAGTCAAAACAGAACAATGCAGGTATTATATCTTTGGTGATATTGGAATGTCTGGACTAATCCAATCTCCTAACTATCCAAATCCTTATCCGGAGCATTCCAACTGCATCTGGACAATATCTGCTCCGATGGGAGAACGGATCCGTTTATCGTTTAATCCTGTCTTCCGTCTTGAAGATTCTAAGTTCTGTGATGCCGACTATCTTCATATCGGGAACGATCCACGGAAACTTGATCTTGATTCACCAACGTCTTATAAATATTGTGGGGGAGATGTTCCGTTTCAGTTGGTATCCCGGGACAACAACATGTGGGTGATCTTCAAAAGTGATTTCTCCAAGTCTTTTGAAGGCTTCCAAATTACGTACACAATTATGTCACCAGGTTAGTAATCAGTGACCTGAAACTGACGACATTTTATACATGCATATACTGCATGTGTCTTATCATACAGTATTCACCATTAATTCCTGGGTTCAGAGGAAATAATCTTTGGTGAAATTTAATCTGAAGTGAATCAATTTTCTTTCAGACAGTGTAAATTTATATTCAGATTAGTACCAGTATTTGTCATTCTGAATTCTAAGATCAGTGTTCCTTGCTTTACCAGGCATGGCTGAGAAAAACATTCTTTTTGTGTTGGTTGGACCTTTTTCAGATTTGTTTATTTCATTGCAGATATCTACAATTCTCTAATTTTTATGAATATTTTTGGTAAAAATGACTTTTTTACTTCTACCGCAAGTCTGATTACTTTAATATATAGATACCTAAGGTTAACCTCTATCGGATTTGTTTTATAATTTCCTAACGATATCTTCAAATCTCTTTGGTAGAAAGCAAAATTTTCAAAAGTCCAATAGCATTTAATAGTACTTAATATATACCTCTCTTGGATTAGTTAATTCTCAATCCAGCTTTGATGAATATTTGTTTTGTTTTTATAAAAAGTGATATTTTTAACTTTTTCTTGAAAGCCGCAAGTCTGATTTGTCAAGATTTGTTAATTTAATATCTTCAAATGTCTAATTTTGCTGAATAATGAATTATTTTTGAAAATGTCAAGTCAGATTGCTTTGATATTCAATGTACCTCAGTAAGACCTTTGTCAGATTTGTTCATTTCAAGATGATACATGTACATTCAATTCTCTAATTTTAGTCAATATTTCTGTCAATTTTGGTAAAAATGCTATTTTCGACTTTTTATTGACAACAGCTTAACAGTTAATTTTAGGTCTCTAATTTTAATGAACATTTTTTTTTTCATTTTTGGTAAAACAAATTCTGTCTTTTTGAAAACCACCAGTCCCGTTGTTTTGCTATTTGATATGTAGGTAGGTGCCTTAGATTTATTTGATTTCTTACTCTATCAGAGTAATTCATTTAGTGTTGATAACTAAAATTTTAGTGAATATTGATATTCTTATTATTTTTAAAATAGCTAGACTGATTGATTCCATATTCCTTTCTCATTATGCATCTAAAACAGCAGAGCTATATCAGCTGACAGACTTCTTGTTTTTGTAGCTTTAATCTCTTAATTTACATCAAAAATTTACTTCTAAAAATGATTGAATTGTAATTTTAACAGTCACATGCTTTTATTATTGTTTCCTTATTTTCAGATAATTGTAAAAACAATGTTTCTTATTTTGAGTGTTCACCAGTTGAGTGTGTTCATGTAGATTTACTGTGTAATGGCGTTAAAGACTGTAGTAATGGTAGAGATGAATACTGTAGTAAGTATGCAGTCTATATCAATCTTAAAGCGGGGTGTTGTCAATTTATATATCATGTGACAAGACATATTCCCTCTGTTTTTCGCATTTAGCACAACAAATATGTGGATTTAAAAAAAAATAGCCAGCAACGTTGCTGAGTACTTTGCTGACTGTCTCAATATCTTTTCACAATTGAAACAAGTTCGGTCAAACCATTATCTCAACAGAAGATGTTAATCTAATAATGAAGGCCTTGACACATTGAATATAAATAAAAGATGCTATACCTTTCAATTTCCCAGTCCTATAGCGTGCTGTCTGACAATGCACAAATTATCAAAAAAAAATTAAACAAAATGTACTGACAAATGCAGTTTCGTATGTCGTCAATTCACAGTCAAGTAACCTTTGATGTACAAATTTCAATAAGGATATGGCATGGAAAGCCTGTCACCCAATTAACTAGATCGTTTATGATATATACGGTATTTGAATCATATGTCTTATTTCAATTGCCTTCATTTCAGATGGTACTGGCAGCAGTATTGCTAACAATGTATGTTTACAGTGCCATGATGGTACATGCATAGCGCCAATATTACCTCTGTATGATTCAAATTACGGAATGGACTATTGGTGGTTTTGTGATGGTTATAAACATTGTAAAGATGGAACAGATGAAAGTATAGGTAACTTAATGAGAATAAATTTATTTATATGTGAGTGCAGCTTTCAAACCATGTGTCATTTCACATGACATACCACTACATGCATGATACTATAGTCGCAAAGCTCTGCATCTGTTGATGCATGTGCATGCCTAGTTTCCTATATGCTTACTATAGCTGCATGTCTGTTTGTTGTTGAGAGCTGGCTGTTCACATGTTTAAAACAAAATGAATGTAACTGTTAAGTTTAAGTTATTAGCCATCTTCTTGGAGGTTAGGTGTGATGCCTGGTAAGCTCAGTGAATGGCTGCCAAATCGTGTAGCTATGTGATTTGGTATTGTATGCATGCAGTGTTAGGTTAATATTATAAGAATGCGTACTGCTAAGTATGCACAAAGGCAGTACTCCGATCGTATCAACAGATGTGTATCGAAGGTTGATGTATTACCGTATTGTCTGAACAAACACTTTCCTGTATTTTTTTACATCTTTTCCTGATTGTAATAATAATTTAATGAGAAATAAACAACAACAAAAACTGTTTTGCCCTGTGCGAACATTTGTGTTTTTTGAGACAGGATTCTATTTCCATCAAGCACTACAACACTTCTGCATCTGATGTAAACAAAAACAAATTGTTTGTAAGTGACATAAACATGACGCACATTGTCCTTATTAGGATGACATTCAAACGCTATCGTAATACTGAACACATCTGTGCTGCATTTTACAAACAAATTTATTCTATTTGTACTTTTCAACATTTCTACTGCCTTCTGTAATATATAATATATATAATATATAATATAATATAATAATAATGAATTTATTGCATCCTTAGAAATAATTTCCATTGGTTGAACAGCAATAAAATGTTAGTAATAAAGTACAATACGTATAAAATTAAAGTAAAAGTAAAATGTCAGTTATTGATATTTCTGATTTCTGATTTCAAATATTTTGTATAAGTATTCACCAACTTGTCTTATTAGTATGATACCATTGGTGAAAATATGTTTGATTTATGACGACAATGAACTTGAAAGATCTTGGAATCTCATATCTTCAGCACATACATGTTTCATCGTACATACCGAATGCACATACCTCTACACATGCTGCCTTGCATGATGGGTGTTTCCCTTAAAGGCTAAGCCGACTGCCGAAACAGTGGATTGGTGTCAGGAAGGGCATCCGGCCAATTATCTCATGCTCCAAAAAACCTTAAATGGCAGTAACCAAGCATGGGCACCAGCCAGCCCAAAGGCTGGGGTGGGCGGCACCGGCCTACCAGAAAAAGGATGGTGCAAACAATCATCCTGGGCCGCGCAGGCGTCGCTTGCATCATGACGGTGTGAAACCCGATAGGCAGTTCGAGGTGAGGGTAGGGAGTTGGAATGTGGGAAGTATGAGAGGGAAAGGAGTGGAGATGTGTGAGGAACTGAGAAATAGGAGGGTGGATGTGTGTTGTGTCCAGGAGGTGAGGTGGAGAGGGGAGGGGGCTAGAATGATGGGAGTTGAGGGAAGGAGGTATAAGTTGTGGTGGAAAGGAAATAATGATGGTTTAGGGGGTGTAGGAGTCTTGGTAAAGGAAGAATTGTGTGAGAAGGTGGTGGAGGTGAGAAGGAGAAATGATAGGGTGATGACAATTGTGATGGCTTTTGAGGAGGAGGTGATGAGGTTGATATGCGTCTATGCCCCGCAAAGTGGTAGGACGCATGAAGAGAAGGAGCAGTTTTATGATGAGTCGTCAGGGGAATGGGGTTTACAAAGTGGGGGTGAATTGGTCCTTTGTATGGGTGACTTCAATGGGCATGTGGGAAAAAGGATTGATGGATTTGAAGGTGTGCACAGAGGGAATGGTTTTGGGGAGAGAAACTTGGAAGGAAGGATGTTGTTGGAGTTTTGTGATGAAAAGGAGTTGTGTGTAGCAAATACATGGTTTAAGAAGGAGGACAAAAGGAAGGTGACGTTCAGCTCTGGAGGAAATGAGACAGAGATTGATTTTGTGCTAGTGGACAAGACGAAGAGAAAATTTCTGAAGGATATAAAGGTGTTTCCAGGGGAATTACAACACAGGTTGGTGGCTGTGGATGTGG